GATGGTGCCCGGCTATCAAAAGATTGACATTATTGATGGTCACAGTCTGGGATTTTGACTGGCATCTTGTGGGCAGATACTAGAGATGCTGTTAAATATTCTACAATACAGCAAAGGCTAATCTGGCTCAACATGTCAGTATTATTGAGGCTGAGCAATCCTCAGCTTTTTATACAAAAACCAGTTCAAGGAAAAGAAAACAATTTTACAGTTTTCATTTGTTGTCTCCCTTCAATATGGAAATCCCTCTCTTATGAGGAAAAGGAATGAATAAAGTTGCCTGGATGAAACCACTAAGGAAAATACCACCGCTTTTACTATTATTAATCATTTTATTGGGGGGCTCTAACAGATGTTTTAACAATCCGCCATTCAATTGTATTAAGTGCACTTGTTCATATGTTGCCATCAACATTTCCAAAGCATTTTCTTTCTACTTGATCCCTTGGTATCAGCTCCTCTCTTTTCCCCTCCCTCTCCCACCTTCCCACCCTTGTGAATCCTTGATCAATTATATATTATTATTGTTATTTCATATCTTACACTGTCCACTGTCTCCCTTTACCCACATTTCTGTATTCATCCCTCTTGGGTTGGGGGAGGCTATATATCCAACCTTGTGATGGGTTCCTCCTTTCTCCCCCTCCCCCCTCTCCCCATCCCTCTACCCTCATGATAGCACTACTCCCACTACTGTTGGGGGTGGTGGTGGTGGTGGGGGTTATCTGTCCTGAAATCCAAATGTCCAGAGATCTTATCTGTAAAGTGTACTCCAGACTGGCTGGATTTTTAAGGTAGAATTGGGTCATGGTAGAGTATGTGTGGTAGGGGGGTGGGGGTGTAGGGAAACATTCAGGAACTAGAGGAATGATGTGTGTTTTGTTGATGCTATAATGCACCCTGGTTGAATCGTCCCTTTCTTGTAACCCTTCTATTGGGGAATGTCCAATTTTCTACAGATGGACTTTGGGTCTCCACTCCAACCCCCCTCTTTCACATTGATATAATTGTTTGTTTTGGATCTTTTGATACCTGATACCCGATGCTGTCGACACCTCATGATCACACAGGCTGGTGTAGCAAAGCTTTTTAACCACTAAAATATTTCTATCTGGGCATGTGACGCTCAACAAGATAGAGGCAACGTTTTCCTTTCACCAGAAAGTTATACTGGGGGCCAGGAGTGAAGTCCTGACTAGTCCCAGGCCTCCTGGTACACTTCCCAGTCCTCCTCCCATTTTGCACTCACCTGCCCTTCCCAAACCAGTTTCCCACGCAGGTTACCACGGAGGGCCAGCCTGTTGTCTGGACAAGTCCATTAAAGATCTGCAGGGAGAAAGAAGGTGGGGTTGGGTGCAGGCTTGGGCCACGCCAACTTTCTGCTTTGTCCCCCCTCAGGACTATGGAAGGTAACTCTCAGTATTGAGGGGCCCGCCACACCACAAATGATATATGCCACTCTAACCTCATGCATGTGTACACACAAACCCTAATATTATAAGCTGATTTCTCCTCTTCCTCAAGATCTTTCAGCATAGAGAGCAAGCCTCTCATGCAGCAAAAGAGACCTTAGGCTGGTGCCCAGTGAGGACGTGGTAAGTGAGGAAATGTATGAATGGGAAGGAGATTGGGGAGGAGAACCCTGGGTAGTGAATGGGAACCAGAGGCTCAAGTCCCAAATCTGCTATGACCTCAGAATGGGGTAGGTCTAACAGTCGGAGTCCTTTCCTGTGACTGCAACCAAGGCCGGAGTGTGAGACCCATACCTGTATGAGCACAAAATACCAGAGCGCGTGGATGTTCCAGAAATATCCCATGCCAAAGAGGGAGGTGAAAAGGCCACTGAGCAGCATTCCGGCAGACAGGTAATAACGAATGGGGAGTCGCTCCCCGAAAATCCCACTGGAGAGAGATGGATTTGCAGTTAATCTTTGCTATTTCTACTCCTTCCCTCTTCTCCCATCTTTGTTCTTTCCCCGCCACCCACAGCACGGAAACCGTTCTGGCCTGTGTGAGTTTTATATGCTCAGTCTTCCACTCACCCGATGTCTCTGCTTCACTTGACACTGTTGACCTCCTTGAAATTCTCCCTCCTCAGTGATGTTACCCTTAGTTCCTACTCACAGCGACACTACAGATAGAGTAGGGTGCCCATGGCCGTAATCTTTATGGAAGCAGGTGGTCACATTTTTCTCAAGTGCAATAGCTAGTGCATTAGAGCCAGGGGCCTTCTGATTAACAGCCGAGTGCTTAAACACTGCACCACCAGACACTCTTTTCTTTGGCTTTATAGTTGTTCACTTCCTCCTCCTTTACTATCCATTTCATTGCATGTTCCTTCTGGGCAGTCTAGTCAATCCCCTTGAGAGTTTTAACTACCACTTATACATTAAATTCAGAAGGAAGGCCTAGTGTGTTCTACTTTGGAAAAAATAACCATTAAAAGCTTTAGGATCACAGTCTATTCTGACACATACCGGTCAACGGGCCTTGTTTGGCTTTGTCTCCAGTATATTAAATATCCCACAGCTTTACCTCCTCAGTCTTCATCTTTCCCCAGAGCTGCAGAAGCATAGCCCAATGCCTTCTGAAATGTTTACCGAGATTCTCCAAATGCTTCACAAAGCTCTCTATATTCATCAGCCCCGTCTTAACGGCCCTTTAGTCCTCCCTCTACCCAGGACCTCTTTCTTTCTTTAAGTCATTGGCATTACTCTCCACTGACTACTCAAGCTAGATGAGAGAGCTCCCTCTTTCTCCTTCCTCTCCATCTCACCGCTCACATTCAACCTCTAAGGCTCGTCCCTTCTACTTCCTAAATATGTATTTCTCCAGTGTGGTGGTTCTCTTCCATCTCTATTATTATATTAGTGTTCTAATTAAGTTCTCTTCAAAACTCACTTGGGCTATTGCCAAAACAGATCAAATCTACCTTGGGTCTGACCCTCAGAATGACCTATCTTAACTAGGAACGTGAACAGGACACTTTACATCAAACCCTTCGATCACTCCCCCATACCCACAAATGAGGCCCGAAGCGAACAAACTTGTCCTTCAGCTCCATCCTCTGCTGCGAGCGCTCTCAGACGTTGCCCTCTCATTAACCTGTCCTGCCTATAGATCACACTGCTTCTTCACATTTGCATCCTTCTGCTCCAACCACTTCTTTTTGTTTGCTGCCCCAGCTGGTGTGGCCAAACCTAATTCCTCTTCATGATGAAAAGAGTCCCTTTCTCCCCACTATTACCTCATTAGCCTCTTCCCTCTAGTCCTAGCCTGGACTGAATGACTGCCTTGGAGCTCTCAAAGCAACCTCGGTCGCATCGCCACCATTCTGCTTTGTAGTCAGCTGCTTATTAACCATCCCTCATTTCCATTAGGTCAGGAGCCCTTGGAGGCTATCCAAAATTCACACTGTTGACACAAATGTGGGCACAGGACAGGATCACTCAAGGGATCCCTCCCAGCACAAGCTATATTCCATCCACACTCACCCACACAGCTGTCTGGGGGGATAAATGTAAAAGGAGCAGCCAGGGAAGAGAGCTACTGAATGTGGGCGTGTGCCACTTCAGTAGAATGGTGGCTGCGGCTCAGCAACCATGGCATGGGCTCATGGTACCCACACAAGCCTCAGAATTGATGTCACCTATGGGAGCGCTCAGCTCTTTCACTTCAAACTCCAAGCCCCTGGCTGCTCAGGCCAGCTAAGGAGGGCCAGTAGCTCTGACCCTCTGACCCTGCATGATCCCAGGCTTGGCCTCTCTCATTACCTGATAAACATGCCGATGGCGTAGGCCACAAGAAAGGCATTGTCCACAGCCCCCAATAACTCCTTGTAGTTGTCCTTATCTGAAAACAGAGGGAGAGACAGAACGCTGGGTGCTTGGCTGCTTGCAAGAAGCCTGAAAAATTGAGATGGGAAACAGGAAAGGCCAGCTTGCTCTGTCCTTACCAAATGGGGCCCAGTTGCACCATGTGGTGTCATTGAAGGTATAGGTGTCATTGATGGGCTTGATCAGGTCAGAACAATTCTGGTGCAGACGACTCTGGAGAGACAATGGGATGCACAGGCAAGAGTCATTTGATCATATCCAAACCTGTCAGCCAGAGAGGAGCCAGCAAACTCGGATCAATCATACCAAGGCCACTGCCATCCCCCGCCCTGAACGCCACCCCCAGAAGATTCCATGCTCCTTCCTGTGAACACCTCCCCCTTGCAGAAATTGATCACAGGGGAAATTAACCATATCTGATCCCACAGTGAAAGGCTGCAGGAGTCCATGAGGAGAACCCATAGAGCCCAGGACCCTCCTTCTCCTACTGTGCACCCACTGATACTGCTGTCTCTTTCCTAGGAAAACTGTCCAGGAAAACCCACTGCTATCCGGTCAATTCTGACTCCTAGCGATCCCAGAAGGCAGGGTTTCGAATGCTATCAATTTTTATGGAAGCAGACTGCCTCTTCTTTTTTCCATGGAGTGGCCGGGGGGTTCAAAATGCCAATCTTTCCATTAGCAGCTCAATGCTTAACCCGATGTGCTCCACAGACTCCTTTCTTGGGAAAAGAACTACTCACTCACAGTGGGGTCTGCCAGGGTGGAAGGGGCAGTCCAGCAACCATGATAAGCAGATAACTGTTCTGTACCACTCATCTAAAGGTGTTTCTGTTGGGCCCAGAAGTTTCAGCCTCGGTACTTGTCACTAACGCAGCCTCACCTTGACAATGCTGATGGGCTTCCTGGACATGTGGTAACAGGTATAAATGAGGAAGGTAAGCAGCAGGATGAACCCTCGGAACCTGCAGGAAAAGTAGACCTTTGGGTACACAAGAGAGAAGGCCCCGTATCTCACTGGTGTTTGTGCCGGCAGCCCCAAGGTCTTAACACGGCCAACTCTTAGTTTCAGGTTCTCCTCCACATGCAAGTTCTTGGAGGCAGAGGCCAGAGGGGGAAGAGAAACATAAGCCCAGCAGCCAAGATGCTCAGGAGGCTCTATCTCCCTGGTCCTGACCCGAGACCCCAGCATGAGTCCTGCATGAGAGGATCTCATCCCGCTCCTGCTACCTTCCATCACCTTTATGAATGTAGAGGTGCCTGCGCATAAGACAGAAGACAAGAAAATGATCATGACGGGAGCAAAGTGTTAGAATCATTTTTTTTAAATACCAGAAAGAGTGAGTGAATTTGAGCCGGAGAATGAAGTGCCTGGTGGGGGCGGGGGCAGGGGCACTGGGGGAGTTTTCTCTTTAGGATGAGATCCATACTCCTCCTAAGCTCCGAACACGGAGAACTAGCACCTGTTTGTTGCCCACTGAGATCTGAGGCCAGACGATGGAAATGAGTCAGCAGCACAAGAAATACAGATCAGACCCAAGTCCTCTTGTTATTTCCAGTCAATTCCCTTCCGCTGGACAAAGATCAGTCTTTCCATGATACGTGGCTCACATACCGCATGTGCCTTTCCCACCCGCCGCTGCCTCATTCTCACAGGAAGCGTGTAACTCAGCACCACTCAAGGTTTCTGCTGGAGCCCAAGCCTCTCCCTTCTCCTGAGTCACCCTCGGCTTCCCCCAGACGATCAGCTGCAAGTCAGCAGGCAAGAGTCACACGGAAAACAAACACCAGCGCGCACCCCCAGTGCAGGGGAAAGGTTAGGAATTAGGAGGGTCCCGAGACTCAGTTTACGGCATTCCTAGGCTCCCTGAACCTAAGGGCGGGGCCAGGCCATTCTTGCTCTTCTCTTTTAGGGATCTCCTGCCACCTGTGAAATCAAGGGACATTTCAGCAAAGCCTGAACTTCGGTGGAATTTAGGTCCCTTCTCACTTCACTGCTGGACAAAGGGGCTGCTTTGTGCCTGAGTTTTCTGTCTCCCTTCTCTCTGTGGCCTCCCCGTTTGTTTTCTTATGAAAATGATGTCACACACAGCACCCTCTTGGTTACCTTGCTTAAAACCGACCAGTGTTTGGAAATGTTGATGGCAGCATATGCACAAGTGTGCTTAATACAATTGAATGATGGACTGTCATAAGATTTGTAAGAGCTCCCCAATAAAATGATTAAAAACAAAATAAAATAAAACAAAAAACAACTCTATCAGTGGCTCTCCGTTTCATTAAAACGAAGTTCCCACTCTTTAGTCTGGAATTTATCCTTGGTTATGACCTTGCCTCTAGCTACCAGATCCAAAGGGTGCAGTGTTGCTCAGAGGTCTCCCGGGGATTGGAGTTTGACAGGGAAGAACGGGCTGCTCCATGTGCCTGCCACAGTGGCCAGCATGAGTAAGCTTGGGGATAACAATGTTTTCTGGGCTCCACCGCCTGACACAGAGCTGCATATACTTATTTCAAGGACTTTAAAAATAGGGGGTAGGATTCTTTGAGAGAATTTGCAGAGAGTACCCAGCAGGCTTACTATAGAAAGCACTCCAGGGGAGAAAGCTACAGCCCCAAAGATTCTATCTAGCAACAGAGTGTCCTGCCCAGGAAACTGCCAGGTTCAGTCGAAAAGGCTAGTGCCTGTTTGGAAAAGAGGTCTCTCTTGCTAATTTACTTTGTGAACTAAACCGATTTCCTCATCAGTCACAACCCAACTACCCCACAAAACAGATGAATCTGATAGCTGCCTCCCCAGAGTCCCTGGATGTGCATCCCTTACGACCCTAGGACTCAGCTGAGCCTACATTGGCCAATCGTTGATCTGGGGCTCTTGTCTGCCTGTGGGGCCACTGAATATGGAGGCAAATGAGATTCTGTCTGGGCCTGAAAGACCCAGGGTGGCATAGTCCCATGACGACTCCTGCTTATGACTGTTCTGTCCTATCAGTCCAGCAGTGTACCCCTTGTTGCGATTCATCCCTGATGGTGACCAGAAAGCCAGGATGCCATTTAACAGGCATCCTGAGTGCATTCAGGAGTTGGCCAGAGCTAACAACAGGCTGGGAGGTATGACCTGGTTGGCACCAGCCCATCTCCTGCACCATCTCTCCACACCACCACACAGCAATCCTCCCAGGACGGAGTTCCATCTAGCCTCACCTGACGTCACAGGTGTCCTCTCACTGTGTTCCATGTCCCTGTAATCTGGGTAGTCCATGTCCCAACCCTGGGTAGGGAGAGTTGTGCTCACTTGTGACATTGATTGCTTTTGGCAGAAGCAGGACTTGCCTACCACTCCCTCACACTTATCCCCCACACAGTCTGCCAGGAACTAAACAGAAAACAGTGTATAGGGGGGTCTTTTCATTCCCGGAGCTCAAGGATCAAGGGACAGTGAGATGGGTGGAAGGGATGTGGTAACGCCATAAGAGAGGAAAGCCCCGTGTCACATGGAAGCACAAAGCGAGGACCCTGAGTCCAGGTGGGATGGGACCGGTATCTGGAAAGGATTCCTCAAGGTGAGGCTTCTTTGAGTCTTCAAAACAAACAGGCCTGGTCCAGGCAGACCACGGCCGGGGCAGGAGGATGTGCCAGGGGGCTGGAACAGAAAGTGCAAAAGCACAGAGGCACAAAATCACACCATCTGCTTGTGGAGCCCTAGCCCAGGACATGTGGAGGGTGAGTGTAGCCTGGAAAAGTGACTAGGAATTGGCAGGGGGCATGGAGTTTGACGCTCTCTTGAAGTTGATAGGAAGACATGGAAGGAACCTGAGATTCCCTAGGTTAATAAGCTCTGACACCATCCAAGTAAAGACCCAGAACTTCTCCTCCTTGAATTTTGGGAAGTCACAGGCAGATGTCCTCATTGAGGGTCAGAGCAGCTCCCTGAACCTTGTTCACCCTTCAGCCTCTGCTGGGGCCGCGATGGCAATTTTACAGGCGGATATTTCAGGGAGGAGGTGTCTATAAAAGAGTAGGGACTTAAGCGTCGAGGAAAACTGAGTTTGGTGTCTTAAATCTGCTTGCTTATCTGAAAAGCAGAATTCTTCACCTTTCTCATGGGGCTGTGAACAGATTACTGAGATGATATTATCATACATCTCCTTGAATGTATGGCATCCCAGAAGCTCAATTGCCACTGAGTTGATTCAAATCCATAACGACCTTATATAGGGTCCCAAGACTTGGTGAATCTCTGTGGGAACAGACACACTCATCTTCCTCCTGCAGAGCGGCTAGTGAGTGGGGTTAGCAGTTCAACACTGCCCTGACTATGCCACCAGGACTCCCTTCTTGACACCCAGTGGGCACTTAAAAACAACAGTCAGTGTCATTTGGGGTTTTCAGATGAGGTTGAAGAGCTGGGGGACAGGGTAGGGCTGGCAACTAAGCCCACTCACTGTGGAGGTAGTGGGGTAGGGTGGGTGTGCTCTGTACCCTGGGTCCTCTGGAGGGCAGGGTTTTATAGGCCAGCACCACCTTCTCCCTACTTTGGGCTAACCAAGGCTAGTAGAGCCCTCTCCTTACTGAGTCTAGGATCCAACTGCCCTGCTAAGGCTTTCCCACAGGCTCTCTCCAAATATGACAAGGAGGGGTCTGCAGATCCACATTGACATCCTGACCAGAAAGATTTCTGACTTGAGAGGTTACAGTCTTACCTCATTTAAGGGCCTGACCTGGCCTCCCTCACAGCTCTGAATTACACATGTGGAAATTTGACCCCCAAAATGACAGGACCGCAAGAGTTATGATTTCTGGAGCACAGGGGTCCTCGACTTGCTGTGCACTGGCTAGGTACTATGAGACCTGTCAAACCAAAGCTTGGAGGGCTGGGGTGATGAGCCCAAAGTCATATAACTGACTTAGCGGAGTATACTTGAACCCAGGCTCTGACTTAGTCTGCTGCTTGTTCCACTGCATTTTGACAGCTATTCTGAGATGGCCCATTCAAAAGAGGATGGGGCCCACAGGCAGGGGAGTGGCTGGGCTAAACTAACAGCTCATTCTCCAGCATCACACAGAACCACAGGTTTCACTTCTCATCACTGTTCTCCCCCCCTTAACCACAGAGGCCTCAGCAGGGTGGCTGTGAAAGCATGACGGCAGCCCAGGTCCTGGGCCAGACTGGGCAAGCAAGTCAGGGCCAAGGACTAGAGTTACTGGGAAAAGGTCTAGATTTTTCCAGGTGAGGCCAACTGCCTTGTAACCCTCTAAGCTTTCATTAGCAGGAGGCGGTAATTCTTAGAGTCCTACCTTCCAGTTCCCACCAACCAGGTCAAACAGAGTGGTAGACTAGCTATCTCTTAACTAGTAGTTGATTGTCTAAGGTATGCAGTGTTAATTTTATTGACTTTGTTAAGACTTTTCACAAGAATAGAGGAAAGAACTGGGAGGTAAATGGGCATTTATAGAGGTTTAAATACAGGCATGTATATATGTAAATATATTTATATATAATGATAGGGAAATAGGCCTATATGCATATATTTATATGTTAAGTATTAAAGTAGCAGGCAGACATTGGGCCTCTACTCAAGTATTCCTTCAATGCAAGAAAACTTTGTCCTAATAGCCTGGAATTCCATGATGCTCACCTTCCTGACATGATCGCTGAAAACAAAATGGGTGCATAAGCAAATGTGGTAAAGAAAGCTGATGGTGTCCAACTATCAAAAGATATAGTGTCTGGGGTCTTCAAGGCTTGAAGATAAACATGTGGCCATCTAGCTGAGAAGAAATCAAGTCCACATGGAAGAAGCACACCAGCCTGTGAGATTATGAGATGTCGATGGAATCGAGTATCAGACATCAAAGACCCAAAGACCCAGAACAAAAAAATCAGATCAATGTGAATGAAGGGGGGAGTGCTGAGTGGAGACCCAAAGCCCATATGTAGACAAGAGAACATCCCCTTCCAGAAGGG